TTAGTCCGTGACTTTCAATTAGTCGTTATCTGTCTTAACATACCAATTAAACATGCTAAGATCACATCATGAATTTACACAGATCATGAAATCATTTATCTATTTTTATTACTCAGGACACCACATTGTCATGGAATTATCATGAATTTACATGGTTGATGGAATTGTTCCGAAATTACGCATGAATTAGATAGCTTCATTTGCTATTAATGGTTCCTAAAAAAATATGATGTTGCAATTTTGGTATTCCGGTCCAAGTTTTTCTCTTGCAGAAGGCATTTTAATTTTTTCAGCAAGTCATACATCACATTAATTGGAGTTCTATAAGTTAGTGTGTACAAAATCTGGATCCAATTCAGAGACCTGATGATGAGGCAGTTTTTAAGGTTAAATATTTCTAGAATAAGTTATTTTTCAATTACCCAAAATTCTGAAGAATGCCGAGTTGAAGTGAATGTGAAATTGATCTTCAACTTCTAAGTTTTTTTCAGCATATAACTGCACTTAATAGAACCTAACTGAGATAGCTCCGGTCGCTGAGTAAGGATTTCTTAAGTAGGATGTTGCATTCTTGGGTATTCAATTAACGTCTTGAGACTGATTTCACACTTGCACTTACAAAAACAAAAGTATAGGTTCTAAATTAATGTCCAATTTTCATCGGCAAATTAAAATAATGTTCAACATTTTCCTATATTTAATACACCATGCGTCTGTATATAAACTAATAAAAGACCATTGACCATTCAGAAAAGAAGGATGGCCCAAAAAAAGTAAGAAGCACCAACATTAAAATAAGCATTTATAATACCTTTAAAATGGAAAATCATCTTCCTATGTTTAATTAGACTAGAAGGTCAAAAACATGATTAGCTTGATTCCAGGAAAAGGGCCAGACAAATTTGTTTTTAAACACCATTTACCAGCTTTTTAGAGTTTGGAAAGTAGCCAAAGATACACATACACCTTCCCAGAAGCGCACAAATGGTCATGCTATTATCAACAAATCCAGCACACAATAACAAGATTTAGATCGTCAACAATATGTTTTGAAAAACTGCAATGCTCATGTGTAAATTACTTAAAAAAATAAATCTATTCAAACTAAAATGAAATATATAAATATGAGGTTGTTGTTTATACAAAAACATATGAGTCGTGTTTATATATATATATATATCAACCCTCTGAGGATGTTGTTTTGACGTTGTCTGATTTCCATAAATTATAAATATATTTCATAATCACAACATTTTAATTTAGGAAAAATTTCAAAAAAAAAATCTCTAAAATTTCAAAATCCCAAATCAAGAATGACTACAAAAATATGTTGTTATTTGTTTTTCAAATGTTGTCAATTGTTAGTCAAGTGTTATAAATAAGACTGATTTGAAATTTTGAAATTCAAATGTATTTGCTGGGATTCTTCTTTTAATTTAACTTGAAGAGTTTAAATTTCTTTGTATTTTTTTGAATATTGGTTCAATATATTAATTTGAATGTACGGCAAGGTTAAAAGTATACTTGACCCATTATTTAAGTTCCATTTCTACGGGCCCTTTGGTCACGACATCGGGGAAGTAGACGTTTGCGAAAGGGAAAGAATTAAGAACGTGTTTCGCTTGATGGATTTTAATTTTAAATTTAAAATCTCTTATTTAGGTAGAGCAAAAATGAGTTGGAAATCCTCGTTACTTAGGTGGGAATTACTTAACTGATCTTTCAGCAGAATGAAAAATCATTATGAGGCGTTAATGAATAAATGTAATCATCAAAAAATCTCACAACAAATGAATAATATGGACATGATATCATTTTTTGTACCAAAATTTGTTATTGTATGTTGATCACTAGCTTGTGAGATTTTTTTTCCTTGTGATTACGTTCGTTTATTAGAGTCTCAAAGTGGTTTTTTCCCCCCTAAGATATACTCTTCCGATCCTAAATATAAGACCCTTATACACATATAAGAACCTTATATTTAGGACCGGAGGAGTAATTTGTGCCAGGAAGCTATTTGACAAACTCAATTAGTTTTATATATTTTCATATCTTTTATATGTTTTATTTTGAATTATTATTTTATAGGGGCAAAATTGTCATATTTTGGTTTAATTGTAACTAATTGATTTTTTAGGACAATTAATACTACCTTATCATTGAATTTTGCTTGCAGGTTTTTGGAAGATTTAAAAATAAAAGAAAAAGAAAAAGAAAAAAATAAATTAAAAAAATAAAAAATAATAATAAAACGTTTTGCTCCCACCCTAAAAATTTCAGAATCATCATCATCTTCATATCGGGGAGGACCGGGAGGACGAGCAACGCACGAGCTGGGCAGCGGAAAAACAGAGGAGGTGCACGCACGAACAGAGGGAGCTGTGTGAGGTCTAGAGGGCCGACGGCGCAAGACGAAGGACCATTCATCATCTTCTCGGTTGAACCTCCCTGGTGGCAGAGGGAGCTCGTGACGGCAGGAGAGGAAGACATGAGCTGGGCGGCAGAAAAACAGACCCACGAGCTGACAGCAGAAACAGCAGAAAAGGAGTCCAGCGAACAGAGACCAGAGGGAGAAAACGAATAGCTTGACGGCGTGAAGAGGTAGAAAGAGCGACCAGTGTGAACAGACCAGCAACGCGAGTTGACGGCAAGACCAGAAGCGTGAACAGGATCATCATCGCCACCGTCTTCTTCACTGCCATGGCTGACTGTATGAGGAAACTGATTGAAGTAGATTCTGAAATTATGCGTGGCTAGAGCTGAATAATTCTCTAATTCAACAATAATGGTAGGAGCTCGGATCATCAAAGGGGAGTTTTAGTTGCTTTAATTTCCTATCCAATAGTTGTTTAGCAATTCCTAGGTCTTAGGATAGTTATTCTGATTATTGAAAACTTTTTATTGTTTAATCTGATTATATTTGGAGATTATTGTGACTGGATTATTGTTTAGCATTTGGCATTGGGCTGTTTATAGCTTTAATTTCAATTATAATGTTGTGGTTATGACATTTGTATTGATTTTGGAGTTAATACATTGTGATTTTCTAAAGGGGCTTGGAATCTTGGATCATATTGTCTCTTGCTAACTTTAATTCTGTTGTTTTGGATTTAAGAGTTTTAATTAAGCATTGGTTTTTAGCATCCTTAATCCCATTTTATTATTCTGGTTGCAGTTAGTAAGTTGGAATTTTAGGAAAATATTTTGTGATAATTCGAGGTGACTCGGTTGTTGGATTAAAAGTTTAATTATAATTCTTAATTCATTGTTTTAACTCCCGTATCTTTTGGAGTGAGGATTGCTTGCGTTGTTGAATTGGAGGATTGATTGTTATCATTGTTATTTGTGTGTTTCATTTTCATTTCTTTAATCGTCATTCATTTTAATCATTTTTATATAAAAACAAAAAAAAGTATTTTAATTTCAATTTAATTCAAGGTGTTTACTTAGAAATTATCAAATCAAAAATCCTTTTTTTATAGTTTAGGTTACTTGCATTTATTTACTAGGATTTAATTTCGTTTTCAGCTCCTCAAAGTGAATACGAACCGGATTGTGCACTATATTGCATTAATTTGGTTAATTTTTAGAGTAACTCCAAAGCGACAAATTAAGGGTAGTTATTTCACTATTGGTTTTCTATATTAATCTGTTTTTTATGGGAGTGGAGGTTTTCTGTGTTAGTGTTGCTATAAGATGACATGTGATAATCATTCGCCAGCCGTCTATTAGCTATATAAAAACATTCGGGCATTACTTGTTAACATCTGGACTATGACTAGTCAATATATTTTAAGTGATATTAATAGATAACTCTTAATATATAAACATATATTTTGCCATCTAATATAAAAACATATTGGATCATTGTCAGTCAATATTCTTCTCCAGTTTAATTTAGTCCATTAAGTTTAAAAGCGTATGTTTAGTGTCTTATCTTAACGCCTTCAGTCTTAAGGGAAAATTGATAAGTTAGCAAATTTAAATAGTGACTTTGAAATTAAATATCATTTTTATATTTTAAAATTTAAGAATTTAAGGAATTAAATTATGATAAAATATTAAAAATATTAAACTATTAAAAAGTCAAGCATCTACAAAAATGATAATATTAAAGAATTAAAATTTAGAGCATGGTTTTTTCTTGGACTGAAAAAATATACTTCGTTAATATTTAATTGGAGAGTCACCATTTAAATCTGCTGAGTAAATATTTTTGTTAAATGAGACTAACAGTGTTAAGATTAAGAAATTTAAAACACACTTAAGGGATGAAAGTGAAACTTGACGAAAAGTTAGAGAACCAAACATATGTAAAATGTATATTTTTTAGGAGAATAATCTTCATAAAGATTATTCAGATAAAATAATATTAACAATATGCAAACCAACTGAACTGGAAACCACCAGAGAATTACCTTCGTGGCTAATCTTGAACTATACTGGAAAACGTCGCCTAGAGAATTAAAATGGACCAGTCTTTAAGAAAAACAAAACAATAAAAAAGGAGAGAAGACAGTGAAAATGAGCAAAGAAAATCGAAGGCAAAGAAGGGGAAATAGCAAAGTTTAAAAAATAACAGATGGAAGAAGAAGAAAAGACGAGAAAGCGAGAGGAAGAAGACAACCATATGTTGCCATTATTGTTGTTTCTTTTCTTTATTTTAATCCCAAATCTGTAGTTGCTTACCTTGTTATACCTCCTCTCTTCAAAAGCTTTTGACCTGAGGCTGTTCCCCTTCCTCACGCTAATCAATACTCACAATCTCTTTTCTTACTGATCTCTTTCCGTACGTATTTATTGAGCCAAAAGCAAGTCTGTCTTTCGCTTTTGCTCATTCGTCAAACGCGTTTTTGCTGACAGGTTGTTTAGGTTGAAATTTCCTTGAATTTTCATCTGGGAAGAAAGATTAAGAAGGATGTATGGTTTACTTGATTACTATATAACGCCTCTTTGTTTTGCTCTCTTCTCCACGCTCATCTCTGCTTCTTTAAGATTTGGTCTGGGTGAAGTTACAATCTCATTCTCCTATTTCTTTCATTTAGTAAGCTTCTGCTTCTTTCACATCATTAACTTCGTCTTCTTGGTTGTTGTTGGTTACATTTTTCTCCCTTCTCATTCATCTCTTTCTTTAAGTTTTTTTCCTTCTTTTAAGTGTCATGGAAATTACATTTTCTTTTTGGAGGTTCTTGTTTGGTCTGATCTTGCATAACCATGACCTTTGGCATCATTTAAATTTAATTTGCCAAGGGTTTAATTGTAATACTTAATTTCAGAAATATATGCAATAGACAAGTGCGGCGAGATTAAAAATATAACTGAATTTTACATTTCTGGTTTCTAATTTATATTTCGAGTCATTGTTTGGATAAATATTCATTCAGTGGATAATCGAAAAATGAAATTGATTAGACTTGCGTTATATTTCGTATTTATATTTAACTTCTTTCTGGATATGTCATGTTCCATATGTGGTAGTCTTGTTTGGTACGCCCCAGCTTTTTATATAGCCTTCATATATATATATATATATATATATATATATAAAATTTAATTACATCATTTCAATATAGTTTGTAAGAGACAATGAGTTCGTCAGTTGGTCACCTGGACGAAAAATTGGAGAAACTACGAGGGGATATTAGAAGAGGTAAGTGGCCAGAAGTATTTGAAACGTACAAGCAAGAAAGGGCGCTCCGCACGGCCGAGATAACAGCAATGGGAGATACTATGTTACACATGGCCGTGTGTGAAGAGGAAGAGAAGGTGGTGGCAAAAGTGGTGGACTTTTTAGTTCTTGAAGAGCAAGTTCGTGCCCAGAATGATGTGGTGGTTACGGTGAATGGAGACGGCGAGGGCAGTCAGAACATGAACGTCATTCTTGGGGCTAAGAATGGTAGAAACAACACTCCTCTACATTTAGCAGCAACAATGGGAAATGTTAAAATGTGCAAGAAAATGGGTGGCGTAGATGTAGAACCCTCCTCAATTGCTCGCCGTAATGTTGACGGTGAGACACCCCTTTTTCTAGCAGCTCTAAATGGCAAGAAAGAAGCTTTTCTTTGGCTTCATTATCAGCATATGAGAAGCAGTGGTGTTTCTTCAACTAACATTGCTCATTGCATAAGGGACAACAACGATACTATTCTTCACTGTGCAATTGCAGAAGGGCATATTGGTAAATCTATACTAACATTCACCATTTCTAATGTTTTTAATGTACTTATGGCTAAGTATTGCTAAGTGCAGATGTGGCAATTGAAATTGTTCACCTTTATAAAGATCATCTGAAAGAGATGATGGGGCGTAATAAGGAAGGGTTGTCTCCCCTTCATCTTCTAGCAGCAAAGCGTTCAGCTTTCAAAAGTACTGCCCTCCTTGAACGATCAATCTTTGTTCGTCCAATTTATTGTAAGTTCTATGCCGTCCATTAAGGGGATGCAGCATGTATACATATATGCGTGTCTGTAATTTCATACTTGAATTTCATCTGTTGCGTTTCAAGCTTCCTATAACAACGATTGAAAATACCATTTTATAATGTTGAATATGGTTGATATTGACAATAGACCTGTCAAGAGTACAAATATCACCACACAAATAAACAAATTAGCTTAGATATACAAACTTTTATGGAAATAACTCATAAATATTAACTTAATTTTACAAACTTCCCTATATCAAAGATCAAGTGAAAAATTTTCTAGAATGTATCTTATATTAAAGACTGGAGGGACTATATTATACCACACACACACACATATATAACACGGGTGCGGCTTGTATGTTTGGGAAGGGGTTTTGAGAGTTAAGAAGAAGAAGCAAGCCACGACGATGGAAGAATTGGAGAAACGTGAACGCCAACTGCGCGTCGGGGACCTCTTGCGCGCATCTGTCAACAAGTTTGTTAGAAGTAAGTATGATCTATTACAAGCATTATTGTTCTTCATTAAGTTAAATGTATTAACTAAGAGAAAGTTTGAAAATGGTACATACCTGCATTTGTAATGCTGAACATGGTTGGGATTTCTCGAATGTTGTATATGGTCTCATTTCAACAACAAAAACACACTCTTCTCAAGAGTGCAAATATGTATATTTTTTTAAAAAAAGAATTGTCATCCCGCTTTTTATATTCATTGTGTTGTCTATTATAAAAATAATAATGTGCTTGTGGCTTAGCTTCTCTATTTGGAACTTGGAAGGGTTTTTAAGAGTTAAGAAGAATAAGCGTGCCATGACGAGGGAAGCATTGGAACGACGTGAACGCCAACCATGGTATGCGCTGTTGGATTATGCTGAAAGTAAGTATGATTTACAAGCATGGTTGAGAAAGATGGGTGCTCCCTAAGGCTTTTGTATTCCATTAACATTACATACACAGTATAAAAACCAAACCACTGAAAAGTGCGAGGATGCCAAGTCTCACGATGACCCATTTACATGACAAAATTGAATCGTGTAAATACTTTGTCCTTGGCTTTCCTAACATATGAATATTTCTTTAAATTCAACAAAAGATTTACACTAACAAAATTTAGAGGGCGATTGTCAATAATTAGTGTTTGTGAATCAAATGGTATATGGTTTATTCATACATTTTTCTTGTCATATTTGCAGATCGTCATGATGATGACGACGACGACGAAGAACGCTCTTTGGTCGCGATGATCGGGGATATACTTGTGTATCTGCTTGTGATTTTGACTTTGATTCCGCTAGCCCCCCTAATGATCTCCGAGGATTTATTTTTATTAGCAGGTACTCCTCGTCAAAATACAAAATACATAAAAGAGCATACATGTATGCTTATGAGATCCATCCATGGACACTTTTCTTTCTCTCTTTTCGTGTTTGGTTTTAATTCGATCTAGAGTTGAATAGAAGTCATTTTGAACATATATATATATATATATATATATATTATTTTACTTATATATAAATATAAATTACTTTTGAATAATTAATTTCTTCCAAAACATTTTGTCCCTACTGACTTACGCTCGGGTCATGAATATACTCATAGAGAGGTGGCTGCATCAGATACGAAAAATGAAGGAGAAGCACACATGGTCGCTTCAAATAATGAACGAGCTTCTTCAACATGCTTCTAAGGAAGATATGTCACAAATAATATCAAGAACCAACTCTGAGCAGCTTTCAATTCTCCAGCAACCAGAACAGAGTTATGGTATAAAACTCCATGAAAACTGGAAGATGTTAGTTTACAAAGCATTCTTATTATACTTTTCATACATAGAACTTGATATTGTTGAATCATAAATCATTCTTCACCTGCAATGGTCACAAAATGTTTCCCGACAAATTTATAACACATTTGTGAACTTTTTTTTTTTTTAATCGCCAAAAGATAAAATGGTAAATTACGTCTAGGGATGTTCTCTAGTTCCTTTGAATTTTGACGAATACTCATATATAAGACTAGATCAATCGCGCATTCAATTTTCTAGGATGTTCATTTATGAACATGTTGTGATGCTGTGGGTTCAAGACTCAATACTTTCAGCTGTTACTCTTCCAGTCATTCCTTTCTCATCCTTAATAATAATGTGTGTGTGTGTGTGTGTGTGTTCATTGTTCCTAATATATATGTGTGTGTGTGCGCGCGCGCTTCCAATGATAGTCGTATGCATAAGTGTGTATATATGTTATGTATATATGTTATGGTAAATATTACGGCTATATTTTCTTTGAAAAAAAATATATCATGCAATTATAAACTAATTAATGTTGTGATTTGGACTGCGCATGGCGTTGGTGGATAGAGAGGGAGTCAATGGCGATGCCACCATCTGGTACAATAACAATTGAGACACCCTTAATGATTGCTGTGAAGAATGGTGTGGTGGAAATGGTGAAGAGGATTTTGAAGTTCTTTCCATCATGTATCAAGGATGTGAATATTAAGGGAAAGAATGTAGTTATGCTGGCAGCAGAATATAGGCAAACGGAGGTATTCTGGTTTTTGTGCAAACAAAAAAGGCTAAGTGAAAGTCTGTTTTGGCAAGTAGATAAAGAGGAAAATAATGCATTGCACTTGGCAGCAAGGCTTGGAGTGGAGGCTGATTGGCTCAATCCTGGGGAAGAATTCTACATTATGTCAAGAGAAATCAATTGGTTCAAGGTGCGTATCTGTATATTTGTTCTGCCTTTTTATTGATGAGGTCAACAATGAAGAAATTCTTATTGATTAATAAATTAAAGCATGTCACTGTCTAAGTTGAGTTGGCGTTTATTTGATATCAAAATATATAAACATATAAGTAGATGTATATGTGTATATGGTGATGCAGTTTGTGAAGGATTCAATGCCCCATGATTTGTTGAAGAGATATAATAGGAAAATGGAGACCCCAGATGATATCTTCAAAGAGAGTCACAAAGAACTTATGAAAAGCGAGAGAAAGTGGGCGACTAAAACCTCACTAGCATGTTTTATGGCATCAACCCTAGTTGCATCCGCAGCCTTCACCACATGCACCAATGTGCCAGGTGGTTATGATAACGAGGGTTATCCAATCCATAGAAACAAACCAGGATTCCAAGATTTTAGAGACTCTTCATTTAAAGCCCTCTACTTTTCTCTCATTTCCACCATCAGCTTCCTGTCCATAGTTGCTTCTCCTTCCCAATATGTTCACACTTGGAGAGACATTCCTTCCAAGCTTCACTGTGGTATGTTCTTCATGTTCTACTCCATTGTTCTCATGTGGATCTCTTTCTGTGCTGGTTATTTCGTCATGCTTGATAAGGACAACCAAACATTGCACCTTGTTTTTCTAAAGTACTTTGTGCACTCATTGGGGATCGTCCTTTTGGTTATCATGCAATTCCCCACATTTTCTGTTCTTGAGCTCATTCCTGGCCCTAGACGCAAGGCCACTCGTCCCATTGAGTACCGAAGGACCCGCAACGAGGAAAACGACACAGATATTTAAAAGCTTTTGTGTGTTGATTTGATGTTTTTATTTCTTTTCTCTTTGTATTTTGTAATATTATGTGTGACCATATCTCATTCCGTCATACTGTAGCTTTAGTTTTATAATTATAATTTTTTGTGTGACAATTATTAATTTTTTTCCACCTCACTTATATATGACTTAACCCTATTGAGTAATTTAATTAATTGAATCAATTAATTTAACTATTGGGATAATCATCACTAGTAAATGTTATTATGATGCCAAAATGTGAACGAATATGAGTTAATGTGAGAAGTTTTACATTGGATAAAAGTTGGGCTTAATAATAAAAATATAATAAAATGTAATGACCCATAAATTCACAAACCTTAAAAGAAAGAAGAGTCAGTGTTCCGAAGGTTCTTTCCCCTTTCCTCTGATGCGTCAGGTGTTAAGGGGCAATTTTGATTGCAAATGAGAGGAGAGGGCACTTTAGTCTACCACTCTACTTTTTTTTTTTTTGGTTCAAAGTCTACCACTATGCTGGAGTCTTCTATAATTAGCAACGCACACAAGTGTATAATCTCCCTGGCACTTACTAGTACATGTAATCAATATAATCTGATTAGCATGTCCTATTGTAGTTTCTAATTATTTGTGTATTGATTTATATATCTGAATAACAACGTAACACATTAATTTAGTTTGAATTTGAGGATATTTTAACGTAATTCTTCAAATTTCATGATATTTTTGGAATTTCTGGCAGGGCACTTTAGTCTATCATGAAGGATTATTACATTGACTTAATATTCTTTTATCTTGATTTCTGATGTTCAAAGGATTTTATTGAATTGATGTAAATATGAAGTTTTGTTTTTTTTTTTTTACATTGGAAATATGCTTTATATAAAAACGAATCCCAATATGTTTAATGTGGTACCATCATATTACCTCATAACGCATGGGACCAAGTGAATCTGAAAGGATGTTAATCATTTCATTTTTTTAAAAAAAAAATAACAAACTGAGTTATAAAATTTTTAATAAAAATTCAAAAATTAATTAACAATCTCACTTTTTTAGTTAAATTAAAGTTTTTTCTCGTTTCCATTAAACCCCCTTAATAACCATTTGACTTATAGCTCTGACCTAGTTAATCTTTAAAATTTTATGTTATTTTAGCACATTTTTTATGCATTTGTGCATACATTGATGTGCTAACCTCTAGAATTTTGTGTCATTTTAGTATATTGTCTTTAAACTTTAGATACTTTTTGATGCGCATTTGTGCATATGTTGAATACTCAAAAATAAAAAAAAATGTAGATGAAGTTTTGGTCACACGCTAATACTTAATGTTATAAATATTGTATATATGTGGATGTACATAACCCCCAACTCTTAGGATTCTTCATAGGATCCTTGATCTTTGAATGTTTTAACCCATAACCCCCCAATGAATGACTTTAGAGGAGTTTTCCATGTTTATTGTCATTATTCCCTTATTCATTTCTTTGTAACTCTTGGATTAGACTTTTATAGTTAGGGGCCTATAAATAGAAGCCACATACAAGGCATTTATACCCATATATGTATATGAGAAATACTCCTTGTTTTCTCTCTCAATTCTTCTCTTGCTATCCTCTTTCTACTCTCTAACTCTCTCATTTTTATAACACGTTATCAGCACGAGTTTGCTCTGAAGATTTGAGGTATGAGCCTTTTGTAAATTAATATATTCTTATAGTATATGATAATATTTTCTACTAACTTCTCCTTACCCAATTATCCTTTTTATCTTATTATCACGTCTAATTTTAATTTTCTATATATTTGCTATATATTATGTTGTTCTTTTATGTTATTTATTAATTTATTCTTTTTATACATTTTAATTTTATTATCTCCCCATTGTGATATTATGTTATTTATTTTATTTATTTTTCCATACTTCTTGTTCTATTGTTTGTTTACGTATATCTGTTTGGTTTATATTATGTCATTTTATATCTATCACAGTATTATATATATATGTGATTATATAATGTTATTTATATTTGATTATGAATTTTAATTTATTTAATTTATTTCATTACAATATTATTTAATTTCATTTTATTAAATGGCTAGAAGCCATATGTGATTAGATGACCAGAAGTCATATCATTTTTGCAATTGTTCTTTTGTGAAACAACAATATGGATGCTTTTAAATGGAATGACAAGAAAAATCTATAGCACTTTGACGATTTGATAGTGACAAATATCAAAGCCCTGAAAGCTACATGGTGACAAGTATTGAAGCCCTGAAGGCTACATTGTAACAAGTATCAAAGCCCTGAAGGCTAATAGTTCAAACATCAAATGGCATAAAAGAGCTTTATTTGAAAGATTTTTACTATAGTCCTGAAGACTAATATTTGAATAAATTGATTATGTGCTACTGAAAGTAAGGAACATGTCTATGAGAGTGATAAAGAGCATGCCCACATTGTACTGTTGGAATTAATAATTAAAGGGCAATAATATTTGGTTTTAGCTATTAAACCATAATTGAGGAGATATTGATACCTCTATAGTAAAAAACAATTATGAGTAAATATCATAATATGACCAGAAGTCATATAGACAAATATATGTACCAATTTATTGAAAGTAAATGTTAAAATTGGTTATGAAATCAAAAGATCAAGAGATATTATGAAAAATATGAAAATGTAGTTATAATACCCAAGGTAATGTCTTATAGAGAAATATGTTCAAAGTTGAAAAATATAATCATTAGCCCAGGAGGCTATATCCAAAAGGTTATATAATATTATTTTAAATTTCTTGTGATTGATTGGTAGAAATATATTATTATAAGTATTTGATATTAAGATATTGATAAACATTAAGAGTAGTTATTGGTCACTTTGAAATGTTAATTTATTGTGCCAATTTACTTGCATATTTATGAATATGAATTGTGAATATAATTTATTTTTCATATCAACAGAATAGCCAAAAAAAAAAGGCCATATTATGATATTGGTACTTTATTGTGCTATTTGTGCGCAAATTAAAGAGATGATATATTGTTCATATTTTGTTTATTTATATGCTATTTGTATGATCTTAGTTTGAATGATTTATTGTGATTTATTGACAATAAATTTTATTGTGAGCATTTGAAATTGTTTTGAATTTAACTAAACAAGAAATCAGTTGAGAAAGAAAAGCTAAGTATTCATACAATGTGTAAGTAATTTTTCAAAAGATATATTTTGAGTATTACAAATTAAATAAATAATATATATTAATGTTAAGAAGTTTTGACAATAAATTCAATTTTACACTTTATTCTTAGAAAGTTTATTTTAAAAGATATTCTATATTTGCGTTCTTTTTAATTATATGAGTTTGTTTATGAGAATAAATTAAGCATATGCAAATGATAATTATAGTTTAAAAAAATTATGATTATTGGATTAATTCAAACATTATTTAATTCTTTAAGTTCATACATTTTGAAAAAGTATAAAAGAAAATTGTATATCTACAATTAAATTAGTTTTTACTGTGACATTTGAGAGAAAAAATCATATATTTATGTCACATTTGAATTGAGAAAATGGAAATTTATTTAACTTTATGAGAAAATTTATAGTTGATATTAATTTCGATTGGTTAGACAAAATCATCTTTGCAGTATGTGTAAATTCTATATATATTACAAGTTAAACTTATGATACTTATAACTATTTATTATTATGTATTACGATATTATTAAGATGAATTTGTCTCCTTATTCTTCTTAAATTACTTAGTTCCTAAAGAATTATGTGTAAAAATATGAATATAGTTCCTGAAGAACTAATGGATATTTTCCTTTATGGGCAGATAAAGAATTAATGGTAAAAAAAATGATCCATTGATCTACATTAGAACTTCGGTTTCGAAAGAGTCGGAAAAGTAATAGCCTAATCGAATTAAAATCCATAATTATATATGAACTAGAAAGTACTTGGACTTCCAAGTGATAGAGGTTATTAGCCTATTATATACTAGTCACTATTTTTGAAATACATGAATAAGGAAAACATGTTTTTATGACTCACACTTGAGGGGGAGACTGTTGAAATACAAGTGTGAGTTGATGTTGGATAGAGTTCTACTTGAAACTTGTTACAGTAAACCAGAAGTTTACTCACCCAATTAATGTATAGTTGGAGTGGCTTGTTTGATTATCATAAGTAATATATATGATGTAACAAATTATTGATGATTATGTATCGACATTCATTGAAGAACCAGAAGATTCTTCATGAATAGCTAACATATTATATGATCCAAGAATTCATATGTTGCTTATTTTCAATGAGAAATTGATTGCATTGATATCACTAGTTATGATGTAAAATGGATCTCTACATTTCTGGAAATATATCAAATTCAGATATATGGGCCCATACCAATAGCATGTAAACCATACAAGTATTTAATAAATTTGATAGATGCATCTATAAGATGGTTACATGTATTATTATTAATTTGCAACCTGAAGTTTGCAAAATTATATGAGTAATCATTATGTTGAGTGCACAAGTTCCAGACTATGAGATCCAGAAAATTTCTATTGAAAAAGATTGTGAATTTATATCCCAGAATTTCAGTGATCAACATGCATTTGTTAGAAAAATAATTGAAAAGTCTATTTAACAGAACGATCTGGTAGAATTATTAGCCTCCATGAATGGCTAGATCAACACTTTTGAGAACAAGATCTTCATCTCAGGGTTAGCTTGTTTAGTTTGATATGTTGCAACATTTATGCAAATCAAGCCAATAAAATTCTCCCAATGAAATTGGCTTTTGGTTAGGAGCCAAATACTTTCCATCTCAAAAGTTTGAATATGCAATGCTTATGTCTATTGATCCACCACAATATACATATAGATGGATATAAAAAAATTAGAATGAATGTTGGGTAAGAACCTCCTTCTTCTTGTTTGTATCTAAAAGAAACAAAAGGGATGTTTCTAAAAGAAGCAAATGAATTGAGGAGACTCATACTGTATGATTAATTGATTGTCATTCGACAAAATTTTTTCAACATGAGGGGGAGAAATTGAGTAGCTGGAAAAGATAACATATAGAATGCATTATTATTATCAAGTATA